CCTCTTTGGAGCACGTCCAGCCCTGATTCCTCCAGGTGATGTTTCAGGAGCCTTGTTGGATTCCTCAAGGTCCCTGTGCCTGGAGTCGGGGCTGATGAAGGTCAAGGCCAGATTCTGGTTCCTGATTTTTACCTCTTAGCTGAAACCTCTTTTCTTGTGGGGAGAGGCCTTTCCCCCTGTCAAATCATTCTAAGCATTTTGGGACAAGCTGTCTTGAAAGCAAACCCCAGATCCATTGTTTTTCCACAGAAGAGGTACTTGAGAAGGGCTATGATCAGGCAACGGTGCTTACCAAGCAGTGCCTTATGGATATGGAGCACGAAACCCATCTAGGTCAAACCTCTAAAAGGCCAGTGGATCAGCGCATAAGTGCCTCCAGAGATCTGCCTCTCGCCTTACCCCGTTGGTTTATTTGGGGCACAGAAGAGCTCTCCCCCTGGCCAAGTGGGGGGCTCTTCCTTCGGTGGGGCTCAAAGGGAGGGACAGAAAAGACCCTTCCCCAGAAGGACTGCGCCCCTGTGGGAAGGGGAAGGGGAAACAATTCTCTTGTCAACATTACAGCTGCGCGCAAAGCACCTTTACCTCACCGTGGCTAGTAGACTTCCCAAGAGTTTCTACGCATCTCTCTTGTCTGATGGGAGCTCTGCTGTCACGCAGAACATTGCACAATTTTTCTCCTCAGCTGGTTTCGTGTATTTCAGAAAGGATGATTTTATAGTAGTTTCAGGTTTGCCCATATCTTATTTATTTCTGCTAAGATTTGGTTTGATAAGGTTTGGTTTTTATATATCTTTATAGACTTGATTCTCCTGTTATACTGGTTTTTCTACTTATTGTGGTAGACCTGATTCTATGATGATGGTTTTGTATGTTGCCCGTCTTCATCATAATAATTCATTTTTTTTAGCAGTATTATTATTCTGTGCTGATCTTTGGCCATAACAAAGTTTCCTTTCAATTGAATTAGGAAAATCCAGTCCAATAATTCATGACGTGATGGATTTAAGTGAAAGGGATACAGGTTCTGGTTGAATGTTTCAGTAAGAACGGTTTGACTGGGGAACTCATCGTCCAGAGAATTGGGGGCTCCCCTTCCCTGGAGAGGCTCAAGTGGAGGCTGGAGCCATCTTGGGGGGAAGAAAGAGGCTTTAATTGGGGCCCTTGTACTGGGCAGATGACCTCCGTGGCTCTTTTCCACTCGCGGATGCTGCGATTCTGCTTGTGGAGGGTGAT